CACTCGTGAAGTGGGTATAATTCACAACAACTGGACTAGTGATAATACACAATATTTAAAGATGTCATCACTCTAGCCAGGTGAAATTCACAAATCACTTAAACTGTGATTAGTGCACCATTCCACACAAGTGCCACCACACTAGTAGGATAACATACTATTACCCTCTTGCGGCTTACAAAAGCGTTTCCAACATTCCAGGATACAAAAGTAACTTTCCAAGGTACTATACACCTTTCCCCTTGTGGGTCAATCCAATGCAGTCTTCCCCGCTCCTCATAGGTCAGAGAAGACAAAATTTAGTGGAGTGTACAAGTAAAAACACAGATTTTAATAACTGCTTACATTGAAAACACGTCCATCCTGTTCCATCAGTTCACACAGGCAAAGTCCCACAACAAAGATGGCCACGTTGCTCCTTCCAGTTATGTGTCTTGACGTCACGATTCTGACGCGTTTCGTCACTTCCGACTTCTTCTCAAGGGGTTTTTAGTTAAGCCAGCTGCTTACAGTAAAACATACAGCTACAAATACTAAAAAATAGCTTTAGAGTTTACATATACCGTAATTCCTTTGTGTCAAGGTACATTTATAAACTTCCTGGTATTCAAAGGGTAAATCAAGCTTTTGACTGCCCCTGCAGCCCTAAGCTTGGCATCTTTTCCTTCTGCTGGCAATCGGCTGTCATGTCTAAGTGATCTAAGTTGCTGTAGTGTTGTCAGACCACTTCTACAGTCCCGAAAAAGGTAACTGTAATAGGTGCATGATGTCTCCATAAAGGGGACCTGTCATCTGACCATGCTATAACATAGGGGGCTTGTTGGCCTCCTTGTGATAGTTAAATGGGGAAAAATAAAGCTTAAAAAAAAATCTAATTTGTTAAAAAAAAATAAAAACATTCAACGAAATATGTGCAAATGCATGTAGGGCTCACATGTATCTAAACTGTCATTGCACTACACATGTGAGGTATCGCTGTGAACATTGGGGTAAAAAATAATTATTGGGGCCATAATTCAGTAACGCTAAACCAGTGTTTTTGCAACCATTTTTTTTTTTTTTTTTTTTTTTTTGTCTTTTGTTTACTTTGGAGGAACATTGCCAAAATGTTTGAACATTTCAGGGGTTCCCTGAGACCTCAGATCTACAGCTTACGGAACATTCATATCGCCCATGCCATGTATGAATACTAATTTACCCTGCACTGCTATATGGTAAATGTCTGCAAGTGATATCCATCTGTACTATCGCCCATGCCATGTATGAATGCTAATATATGTATGCCATGTATGAATGCTAGTGTGTCCTGGTTGACTCAGGGTTCTCTTTCTCCCACTGTCTGCTGCATACAGAGGATGGGCTGATATCAAAACCTTCTGGAAGCCCTGTACAAAAGGGATATGAACATAAATATCTGACGGTGGCTCTTAAGCAGAGTATACATACATTTTTTTTGGCCAGTAGGTTGAACGAAAAAAAGAGAAAAACTTGAATCCCCGCATCCACACAAGATGGTTTCTTCCCTCCTGCGCTGTTTTATTCTGACAGAAGGGATGCGAATATGTTTGGCCAGTCCTTGTTGAATTGGCTGATTTCTGGTACATATATACCCAGCTTTAGCCCTGGTTCACATCAATGCAGCTTTAAAGTTGCATGACTGACAGCGTACTATTCTGTACGACTTCATTGCGGCTTGCTGCCACTCAGTGGGACATGAGATGTAAATGCAAGTTGAAGGTGCACAAAAATACTGCAGGAATATTTTGCAAAGTCACTGTGACTTGAGTCACACCGATTAGAACGGGGTCATTGCCGGTAATGGGATGTGACTTTCGTGCGACTTAGAACCTACAAGTTGCATGACAAGGCACACTGGTGTGAACCTGACCTTAGACCTCCATTCTCTCCAAAACAACCAGCCCAAATAAGTTTTTATAGTGCAGATCCAGATTAAAGCTTAGCACTACAGTTATCTTTAGTTAAATTTTTTTTTTTTGGACAAATTGCTGAATGGCTTTTGTTAAATCTCATTCATTCAATATAATTCTCATCTGCACACATCACAGATGTTTTGCTTGGCCATAAAACATCTCTGCTCTTTTAAAGGCTGCCTGCCCAAATGTAGTTATTTATTTCTTTTTGTTACTACATTTAGCGCAGCCAACAGATGGCTTTAAACTGATTAGGAGACACTGAGCTCCCCAGAGGCTAAATTATGAATAAATGATTACAAACAGCCCTAATCAAGAGTTCATTAAAGTAAGATCCTCAGCAAATGGACTCTGGCTTCAAGACTTGCCTATGTACTCATTATATTGGAACATTCTGTGATAAAATGCACTTTGCCTATTAGTCTGTGTATGCTTAAAATTACACCTTTTTGTGAGATGCTGTGTTCATATATTACAATGCCTAGGGCCTTGTCATAATGTTCTAACATTAATATGGAGCAGAATGTTCATAGTGTTGCATATGTGTCTGAGTCATCCCAGTCATTTTGAAATAAATTGCTGTCAAAATGGTCAACTTGACTCTTTTACAGAGCTTATATAATGTATCTTTTTATTTTTATACATGCCATATAGTTTTAAATTTTGTTTCCTAATGTGGAACAGTGTATGAATCTAAGATTAGTCATCCACAAGCAACCACTCCAGTTTCGCACCCACAATGGTTTGGAACCTACTATAAACCTGTTACAAACCTGGGCAGTTCACGCATATGTTGGAAAAAGGCTATCCAAAGATTACCTCTGATGAAAACGCAAAACATACCGCCAAGGCAACAAAGGAGTTGCTCAAGAATTAGCGCATTTAAGCTCATGGAGTGGCCTAGCCAGTCTCCTGACCCTAAAGTGTTACTAAACCCATGAGCCTGCATTCACTATATCTGGTCTCTCACAGTACACAGAACATGGAAATGCAATTATTATAGTAAATAAACTGCTAAATACCTTTTCTCATCAGCAGTTATAGCAGTCATGTGACTTCTATCAGTGTCCAGCCCGAGCACTGGTTAAAGTTTGTAGGAGGAGTTTGCATTCTCCCCTGATTGCCCTATGAGGTTGCATGACCCTTGACCCTCTGAACAGTACTGATTGACCCTGTGCTGATCACATGCACCCTTCCCAAGTAAATAACTTTCTAGCAATAAACACCAAACAGAACAAAGCCTTGAGGGCAAGCTGTACATGCGCAATCAGGAGATGGAGCGGGGACAGTAGAAGGGGAGTATCAGAGCAGACGGGGTCAAACATTATTTTTACATGATGTGGAGGATTAACCCCTTAGGTTCCACAGTGAGTATAACGAGCATGCTTTACTGCATATACAGACTGATTTTACTGCTGCTAGTTTAGTAATACTTTAACTGTATCTGAGTACTGAAAATGCTATTTATTTAATTTTTAATATTCAAAGCGAACTCATCCATACATCCATCTCTGCATGCTTTAATGTTTTAGCAAATCACTCTGAAAAAAACCCCTAGCATTTCTAGCCATGGCCATATGGATTAAGGGCAGATGATTCATATAGCATATTCGTCCAAGAATCCATCTGTCCTTAGACATGCAGGCAGAGGGTTGTCTCAGCTGAGAAACCCATCCTCCGGATAAAAGGGGAAAAAATGCCCGTCAAGACTCTTGGGATGTATGACATCATTTTGGCCTTTGCTTTGCCAGTAACCTTGAAGCAATGTTAATGTAGAAAAAAAAGCTTAAAATAAAAAATTACCTAAAGAGGGCACACCAGCCTAGTGCATTAGCCCATGGGTCTGAGAAAAAAGGTTTTGCCTTTGAAATGCATCAGTAAGGACCCCAGAGGTCCCCCTGTATTTTAAAGCTTGTACCTAGGACTGCAGGGCTACGGTTGAGTAGCTCAATGATTGATTTTAACCATTATGTTTGTGAGTATAATTCATGATTATTTTCTTATTAAATATTGTGGGATAATGCACTAGGCTGGTGTGTAGTTTTTTGTTGTGACTTCAGGACGTCCCCATTCCAAGAGGGCAGCAAAACTTGAGGCTATATCCCTATGCCGTGGAGTTATTCTCAATATTGCTCTCCGGGATACTGCACTTTAGCACAGGATAGTTGTGTCCACGGCCTTTAAGTAAATACAGTATACCTTCCAAGTGCTGGGACAAGGTCATCCAGCGTGGGCAAAGATGCCAATCTTGGCAAACCCCCCCCCCCCCCCCCAATTCATGATGTGCAAGCTTAGGGGATACAACGCCCAGCAGCCACTTATCAACATCACTGCCGCTGTCTCTACTCCTGTCAGCCTTGTAACAGAAGGAAGGCACCCCCACCTCTATAGAAAACCATTGCGCCCAGGGAAACCATCCTTCCTGCCCACCCCCAGCCCTGTACCTTCCTATCAATCTTCCTGTCTATCTGCTAATGCTAGTTAATGTTGATTGAAAAAATAAGGTTCTGCTTTAAAATAACTAGACTCAAAGCAAGGCATGGGGAAAGTAGATGCAAAGGCAAATCTCATCTGTGTTTTAATCCTAACTGAGCCTACTCTCTCCCAATTCTTGAGTCTCACTGAGATTACTGTGATGTCTCACTGACCAGTAGGGGAGGCTCAGAGGGAAAGAAGGAGCAGGGCTTAATGCAACATTTACAGGAAAAGTCATTATTTGCTAATATCAGCTGCTTAACTGGATCTTCTGATCATTGTGACATGGGGGTTGCTCTCAAAGTAACCTCTACTTATGCATTTGTAATTCATCTGTTTTTGAATAGCCCAGGTGTGTGGCAGGTTTCAGGCCTTATTCATACCAACACTCTAATCTGTATGCCCTTTTAAAGGGCCATCTTTAGCTGCCTGGGATGCAGGGGCGTGCTTGGCAGCCTGTTGAAATAAAGTGGCCAGCTGCACGGACCTCCATGCTCCTCTCAGAATGTGTACATCCATGCAGGTTCGATGCATGGATCAGAATGCAGTCTTTCTGGACCTGATCCATGTATCTGACCCATGTGGATGTGCACTCTTAACCTCCCTGACGGTATTCCCGAGTGTAGCTCGGGGTAAAGTTTCAGTACCACAAGCGGTAACCCTGAGCTACACTCGAGCTTACCATGCGGCGCTGCTCCAGCATCTGTTCTTCACTTACCTTGTCCTGCACTCCCGCGATGTCCCTCCTGCAGTGTCCCCGGCAATGTAATCCTGCGGATGCCGGCATCTGTCATCTGGGTTCCGTCCCCTGCAAGCATCGGGACGTACGGAAGAAGGAACGGCGGGAAATTTGAAAATGACAAAAAGTGACATTCACTCAATACACTAAAATCACATAGTAAAACATTACTGTATCAAACCATTTCACATACATTTTGTCGCTAGTGCTTTGTCCTGTGCCCTGCCTACATTTGTACCATTCTTTCTGCCTGGAAACTGGGAAACTTCCATGGTGTCCAAAAGCGCCCCTTTAGGTCAAAACCAGTTTTTAGACCAGCTAGAGAACAGCGATAGTAAATTAGAAACTACTTGCAGAATTGAGTGATAATGATTTGTGGGGAAATTCGTCATCAGACACTGAAAACGATTTTGCAACTTTGCTCAGTGATGTGCGAACTTGGCGCTATATTTCAAATTTCAGTGTTTTTGGTTTGATTAGATTATTGAATTAAATTTATTATTATTATATTATTTTTTATTACTGGGAAAATTATAATTTATGATTTCATGTTTCAAATTTTACCTGAGATGTTTACTAGACTCTTGTTCGGACAGATTTCAGTGAGTTATTCCTGAAAAATTACAGGCCTACAATAAAAAAAAAATACATATTTCCATGCAAAAAAATTGTACCGTTTTGAGCACAGAAATATGGACATAATCAGACCGATAGGGAGGTTAAATTAGCATGGAGGTCAGCGTAGCTGATCTGTCAATTTCAACAGGCTGCCAACATGTCCCTGTACAGAATACCTGTGCATCCTAGGAAGCTGAGAAGATAGCCCTTCGCATGGGCGTATGGATTGGTATGCCCATGTAAGTGATGCCTTCAGTGTTTTTCTGAGCAAGTAAAATTGCTTGAAGTCTAAGGTTTAGGTAGAGAGGATTGTTAGCCCCGTCTATCCATTGGGAGCACTGTATTTTTATTTTTAAGCGACCATCTGCAAACGTGTTAATGATTCCAGATTAATGATTATATGGAATTGTGTAATCAGTTGTGGGTAGAGATTACGTACTGTAAGTAAATTTGAAATAGAACAGCAAGTATTGGGGATCTATTGGTACTATGACAGCATGGCTACATAAGACGTCTTTATTATGTAATTGCCTATTATATGTATTGATCCATGATATTGATAAACTTTTGATGCCTCATTACATGGCAGCAATAGTGGTCACTGACTTAGTCTTCAAGTGTATGTTTAATTTTTTTTTTTTTTTGGGTGCTTTTTTGGGGAGATTCCCTTCATATTCTGCTCTATGTAGGGGAAAATCTTTACTTAAGGAGAATATACCTCCAATAAAAAATTTTTGGGGGGTTCTTCATCTTTCCCCTCTATCCATGCTAAAAAATAAATAAGTTTTGACCATACATACATAGTTCGGTCCATATATATTTTGGACACGGGCACAATTTTCATACTTTTCGGAGAGAGAGGGGACTCTATATATGCCACCAAAATAAATTTAAAAGGAAACAATCCAAATGAATTTGAATTGCAGACTTTCAGCTTTAATTAAAGGGGTTGAACATAAATAGCAAGTACAAATTTTAGGAACTGCAACCATTTTTATACACAGTCCCTCCATTTGCTTGGCATGCGATCCTGTGTGGGTGTACACTTAAGTACAAACCATGCGAATGAGGCCTTAGTTTGGGAATGGGTGCACTTTAAATCCCACTTGTCTGTACCCCAGTAATACAGAATAGGCTCCAGCATTGCTCAGAACCTGCAATGCATTGCTCAAAACCAAACTTTTTAGGTGATCTGTTATGCTGCTAGGATATACGGCATCCCAGGACAATTTCATTTGCAAGGTGTCTACTTAGTGTTCATAACTAGTCCTGTCTTCTCCTACACGTTTCTCATTACTATGATGGCCTTACTAACTGGTAGAAGAACAGGGAAGGAAATGGGGCCAGGAAGTGTCAAACCATGCTGATTACAACATCCCAGGATTTGTACGCTGTGCTGTAAAAGAATGCATTGAAAGTGTGCATACGTCAACCTTAAAACCCTTAACCTCCCTGGCGGTATTCCCGAGTGTAGCTCGGGTAAAGTTTCAGCACCACAAGCTGTAATCCCGAGCTATACTCGGGAATACCATGCGGCGCTGCTCTGGGATCTGTTCTTCTCTTACCTTGTCCTGCGCTCCCGCGATGTCCCTCCTGCGGTGTCCTTGGCAATGTCCTCCGGCGGATGCCGGCATCTGTCATCTGGGTTCTGTCCCCTGCAAGCGTCGGGACGTACGGGGACGGTACGGTGGGAAGTTTGAAAATGACAAAAAGTAACATTCACTAAAATCACATAGTAAAACATTACTGTGTCAAACCATTTCACATACATTTTGTCCTGCGCCCTGCCTGCATTTTTACTGTTCTTTCTGCCTAGAAACTGAGAAACGTCCATGGCGTCCAAAAAGCGTCCCTTTTAGGTCAAAAGCAGCTAGAGAACAGTGATAGTAAATTAGAACTACTTGCAGAATTGAGTGATAATGATTCGTGGGGGAAATTTGTCATGAGACACTGAAAACGATTTTGCGACTTTGCTCAGTGATGTGCGAACTTGGCGCTATATTTCAAATTTCAGTGTTTTTGGTTTGATTAGATTATTGAATTAAATTTATTATTATATTATTTTGTGTGATTATTTATTAAATTATAATGTATGCTTTCATTTTGCAAATTTTAACATACCCGGAATGTTTACTAGACTCTTGTTTGGACAGATTTCAGTGAGTTATTCCTAAAGATTACAGGCCTACAATAAAAAGAATACATATTTCCATGCAAAAAAATGTACCGCTTTGAGCACAGAAATATGGACATAATCAGACCGCTAGGGAGGTTAAGGTAATGACTGGTATGTTTTCAATCCTGCTGTTCTTTATTCACTGGAAAAATATTTAAACAGTGCGTGTGATTTATTCACACATATCTTGCATGGTATTGCACTTTGATACAGTAACATTTTGTTTTTAAATAGGGTAAGAAAATGTAATCAGTGTTGACATCTTATTATCTTTTTACCTGTAACATTCTGTGAACTGCAAATCCTTTTCAAATGGACTGTGGGAAGTAGAACAGATGTTCTGGTCTCATGCAGCTGATGATGTGATGGGAAATGATGTACACTCATGAGATTTGTAATACACTTATCCAAGGCTAGAAGCAGATGTAATCAGATAATTTCTTACAGCAAATTTGCTCATCCATACACTGGTATATTTGGAGTGTTTCCTTCAACATCTCTTTCATGATGAATAGCCCATAACACTACATGTTCATTTGAAAAGTATGTCTTACTGTTCTCTATATACCTTATTAGGATTCTACCTTGCCTCCTGTGGACTTGTCTCTGTTATATTAATGAGCACAGCTTGTCAATGATACACCAGGTTTTTCTGCTGTCAAAGAAAGTGAGATCTGTTTGTATTTCATGGTTCTAGTGTTGTGATCGAAGGTTTGTATGTGTGTATGTACAGTGGCAAACATAATTTATTTGGTCGCCTGCAGATTTTGTAAGTTTGCCCACTTAAAAAGAAATGAAGGGTCTATAATCATGTTTATTTTGAATGATAGAGACAGAATATCAACCATAAATCCAGAAAAAACACATGATACAAATGTTATAAACTGAGTTGCTGTTCAGTGAGTAAAGTAAGTATTTGATACCCTACCAACCAACAATTCTGGTTCCACAGACTTGCTGTGGTACACAGTTTAGGCCTGTCAATTTAAGAAGGTGCTCTGAATGACAACACAGAATTTCTTCCATTCAAACTTCATCACAATCATGGGCAAGACCAAAGAGTTGTCAAAGGACGTTGGGGACAAGATTGTAGACCTGCACAAAGCTAGAATGGGCTACAAGAACATCAGCAAGAAGTTTGGTGAGGAGGCAATAGTTGGAGCGATTAGTCGCAAATGGAAGAAATACAAAATAACCAACAATCACCCTCAGCCTGGAGCTCCATGCAAGATTTTGCGTCATGGGGTAAAGAATTACAAATTTTATAAATTGAGTTGCAGTTCAGTGAGTAAAATAAGTATTTGATCCCCAAGCAAACCATGACTTGGTGGAGAAACCCTTGTTGGCAAGCACAGAGGTAAGACTTTTTTTCTTGTAGTTACCAGGTTTGCACCCATCTCAGGAGGGATTTTGGTCCACTCTTTACAGATCTTCTCTAAATCTTTAAAGTTTCTTGGCTGGCTTTGAACCATTAAATCATGTAAAAGATGACCAGATGGGAGGAAGATTTATTGGGTGGCACCCCTATAATAGGAATGGTCCCCCCAGAGGTGGTTTTAATCACCATAGGATGGGACCCCATCCTCCATGAAGAAATATTTTTTTATCCTTCATATAATAGAACACCTAAAAAGGTGGGTTGGCAGGATAATATAAAATATTTACCCCAAAGATAAAGATTGTGGAACCACTGGAGGATCTTATAGGTCACAACCATCCACCTCATATGGAGAATATAATCAACAATATTCTAATAATGTTTTAGGGGGGAGCCACAACCGGAAAAGAAGCATAGACTAAGGAGAGGCAGAAGAGTTAACCAAAGGTATTTTCAGCCTCAGCTCAGCAGTTCTGAGTTTGGAGGAGGAAAATCTGTTAAAGGTCTGAAATTTGCTCCTAAAGAAAAATATAATAAATCCTAGATATTTGTGGGCATTCATAAATTCACCAGACAGATTAGTATGAGAGTATTTCTCCTATCACCTTCCAGGATGGCATACCTGAGAGATAAGGGGCTCTTCCCTACAGGAAACACAATCCATTTACAGCTGTTAAAAGCCCCCTCCCTTGCCCTGCAGTACTGATTGTGTTCTTCCTACATCAGGACGATTGTTTCTGTGATCAGAAGACCTGGGAGGGTCAGATGGTACCCCTTTGAGGCAGGCATAGGGAGGCCATGGAGGGCTAAACTAACCCGCAGGCTTGCTCCTTCTCACAGGTCTCCCCCTCTTGGCACTAGCGCTCTGGTCATATGGGGAGTGTGAATCACCGCTGTAGTGTTAAAATGCTGCCTGGCTGCTATGTCTCTCCCTCCTTTCTCCCTCCTTTCTCCCTCCTCTCTCCCTCTTCAGTGGTGTTCCTCTTCTCTATTTCAGAATCCCCGAGCAGAACCCAGGAGGCTCCTGATAGACCGCACCCGGTACCTGTGGGCTCTAGCTCCTCTAGGAAATGTGGGTATTGTGGGGAGAAGTTACCTAGGTCCCATCCTAAACCATTTTGCTATAGATGCATTAACAAAACTGGCAGGGAAAGAGGCTTCAGGTTTGATGAAAGATTTCCTAGCATCTATGCAAGAGGAGATGATGGCCACGCTCCAGTCCTTCTAAACCTCGGTGGCATAGCCACAGGCCCAAGCCCAGAGGAGCTAACCTCTAGAGAAGGCTCGTCCTTACAGGAAAACCTTAATCCCAATGAGGACCCTGGTGTATTCCTCCTGTCTTCCCAGATTCTTCCTCTGGCCCAAGCCAGTGATGAGGAGGGTAACCAGTAGCTTGATAGTCTGCCGAAATCAGACCACAGCTCGGGGAAGGAGGGGGATCTAGATCTGGGTGGTGAGGAGGTTAAGCCTGTTGGGCACCTGTTTCTGCTGGAAGAATTGGAGGGGCTCCTTCAGGCAGTCTATGCCACTGAAGAGATCCAAGAAACCCCCAGAGAGACCTCAGCCCAGGACAAAATGTATAGAGGCTTACTTGAGCACCATGCTAGGGTGCTCCCTTTTCACCAATCCTTAAAGGATTTAATCCTACAGGAATGCAACTATCCGGAAAGGAGAATGGTCTGGTCAGACCTAAGACTTGGAAGAGAAGGTTTCCCTATAAGAGGATTAGGAAAATAAATTATTTAAGCTCCCTAAATTGGATGCTGCAATGTCACAGGTTACCAAGAGATCTGACCTCTCTTTGAGGATTCAGGGAGAATAAAGGATTTTATGGACCGTAGGTCTGAATCTCTCCTAAGTAAGGCATGGGATGCTAACACATCTCTCCTGGCCCCAGCAGCTACCTGTATTGCCAGGAATACAGACTTATGGATGGAAAGGCTGACAAAACATCTGTCTCAGGGGACAAGGTCAGATGAGGTGCTAGATTCCCTCTCCATGATAGGGAAGGCAGTAGCTACCTGGCAGATGCTACGGTTGAATCTGGTGAGGCCTCAGCCAAAACAGCCTAACTTATTAATTCAGCCAGAAGTGCTATCTGGGTTAAAGCATGGGAAGGTTATATCACTTTAAAAAGGTAAACTATGTGGCATCCCCTTTGAAGGCTCCCTGCTGTTCGGCCCATGTGTTCAGGCCCTCTGAGAAGGGGGGGATTAATTTCCAGTTAAACCCGAGAGGGAGAAGTATAAGAATTTTTTTTTATGCCCTTTAGGCCAGTGCCAGCAGAAAGCCAAGAAGGAACCAATTAAGAAATAGGATTATTGCAGGGGAAGGCAAAGGAGCAATTTTCTGTTTTTCTCCCCAGGTGCCAACACTTAAGAAACCAAGTGACACCAGGATCGGGATGGGGGGCCACCTGGCACATTTTGCTTCCCTGTGGGAGAAAATCTTAGACGGTGCCTACATCTAGCAATGCGAGAATGCTGTCACCTGTTATTCTCATCAAGGCTCCTACCAATGATCACCTTAATCCACCTTCCTCAGGATGCTGAAAGGAGAGAAGCCCTCTTGGAAGGAGTTCATGAGTTGGCAGAACAGTTGGTGATAGTGCCATTACCAAATAGCCAACAATACCAGGGATTTTACTCTCACGTATTCGTTCGCAAACATTCAGGAAAATACCACCTCATTATAAATCTCAGAAACCTCAACAAATTTTTGGAGTACAAAAGATTTTCCATGAATATTTACTCAGTATGCAAAAATCTCCTGAAATAGGCCTTTTTGACAATGCTGGAATTCAAGGATGCCTATTTGCATGTCCCAGTTCACCCATAACATCAGGCGTACTTGAGGTTTGCGATAGTAATAGGGGAAGAAACCGTCCACTGGTAGTTCAGGGCTCTTCCTTTTGGATTAGCAGCCAGTCCAAGGATTTTTAAAAGAATCCTAGCCAAAGCAGTGGCATCTTGCACCTTCAGGGGATATCCTGGCTATCCCTGATATCCTATCAAGACTATCTTATAATTTTTGGTCCCTCTGCTATCAAGGTGAAGGCAGAGACAGGGTGATCTCCACCCTGGAGTCTCTGGGCTGAATAGTAAGCACATAGAAATCCTCTCTGGAGCCAGAGCAGGTCAAAGCGTTTTTAGGCTACATAGTGAACACAAGCACTCAGAAACTTTCTACCGAGGGACAAGGTGCTGAAGATGGTGAG